AGCTTTCTAGAGTTTCACGACTTAGATATTTTTTACACACAAATTAGTTTAAAAACAATAATTGGTGAATCCACTGTGCTCATTAATGGCCTAATGATTAGAGAGTTGGACCTGTAACCCAAAGGTTGCTGGTTTGAGTTTCAGGCCTGGCAGGAGATGAGTCATCACCATGACTGAGATGAGACCCTTGAGCAAGACACCGAACTCCCAAATGCTCCCCGGGCACTGCAGCAATATGGCTGCCCATTTCTCTGTGTGTGTGTTCACTACTGTGTGTGCGCGCACTTTGATGGGTTAAATGCAGAGCACAGATTCAGAGTATGGGTCACCATACTTGGCCACACATAACTTTCAAGAACCCTGGCTGCTGGAGATCCCTGCTTTTAAGTTAATATTTAGGCCTATAAATCAAAGCCACTAGAAAGCAAGCCTGCGACCTTTAGCCATTCTGGCAGTACACTTCCGTTCTGGCAGTACAGAAAAGAAAGGAGACCAGATGCCGTTTTTTTTTTTTTTTTGAATGGATGTCAATGGAGGAGAGGCTTCACTAAAGCCCTATTCGCACGGGATTAGTATTACCTGGTGACCTCCAATCATTTGTAATAATTGCGGAAGTTGTCTGTGATCTTAATCCCGTGCGAATCGGCCATGTCTGTAATTTGTAAAGTAAAAATTCCCCCGCAAATTACCTACCATATTTCGCCGAACACCGAGGTCCTGTGATAATATTAGTCCCGTGCGAATCGGCATCTCTGTGATTCGGCCAGCATTTGGGGGGTCACATATCATTTTTCGAGGTTTTTGTTTGCTATGCGCCTTTTTATCCATCTTTCGCGAAGAATGGAGCTGCGTTGGAGTGTTTGATAGTATTTTGGGTGCTGTCATCATATCACTACACCATACAATTTGCAGAAAGAGAAAGCTGAAAAGGTTTTGAGGTTAATGTGTTACAAATAAATCAAGCATAAAGCTTGAGATATTATTTTAACCTGGTGAAATGTAAATGACACAGCGCACGAAACTATATTAGTTTCTTTCTTTTTTTTTTAATCCATCTAACCGGACCATAGAACGGGACTCTTAAAGCCCTGACATCGTATGCGGGAGACAAGTCAGTAAATTCGAGTAAAATCACAGGCTTCGCTTATCCCGTGCGAACGCAACACACGAAATTCAGATATTTCAAAAGGTATAAACACACAGCACTGAGGTATACACTGAAAACCCTAATAAGTTGACTGAACTAAACTGATTGAGTAAACTCGTTGCCTCAATTTAATTGAGTAATGGAGTTTCCCAAAACTTGCATATATAAGTTCATTAAATTTGGTGGTTTTGTAGACTATACTTATATCGTTAAGTTCACCAAACTTGGCGCTTATTTAATGTACTTAAACGATTATGTTCACTTAACTTGGTATTAATTTCCAAGTGTACTTATATATTTAAGTTAACTCAACTTGGAAATGTAACTGAAACTGTTGAATGATGTTCTTATTTTTGACTGCAAGCTTTGTGCACACCAAACTGAAATAAAACAATGAACAGCATATTTAATCTTTGACTTTTTATTGACAAAATGTCACAATATTAATGCAAATACAGTAAACACTATACTGTAATGGAAATGGGTCACAGCCACACTGTAAAGGTGGTAACAAAATTAACTAGTGCAGTACATCAATTGTACAAATCTATGCACATATATACTTCACTCAAGTATCACAATTATGTTAATGTAAACATAACTATTACATTTGACCGTTTAAGCTTTGTGCAAACATAGCGAACTAAAATAAAACATAGAAAACATTCATCATGCTGGATGAAATCAAACGTGTTGGCGAGTGATTTTGGGTAATTCAGGTCTAGTGTGTAAATCAGACCGAAGAGAAGACAGATTGCCTGTAGGAGGTCCTGCATTTTGTCCATCACCACTTGGCCTTCGAGAATTATTCCAATCGAAGGAGTCAAATGCAAAGAGTTGGGAGGCTGAAGATCAGCGTCCTCAAATAAGATCCCCACCGGCACATCAAGGATAGTGTTGCGATGATCAGACATCTAGTGAAAAAAACAGGTATAAATATAGTATTGTGATCAGGAATCAAAGGTTTATCATCAATGCATGATTATCAGAATGCGCACTAATTTTATTAAAAAAACAAATCACTAACCCTAATCCAACATTATATTGACATGTATACATTTGAATTTATGTAAATGTAGATGCTTCCTGCAAAGAATTTGGTATACACTTTTTAAAGTATACATTATAAATGAGGTTTATTATTTTGAAGACTTGTGCAAAAGAGTTGGCCACATTTGTATATTAAAGGAATACTTCACCCAAAAATAACATTATCGTTTGAAACATGATAGTCATTGTGTAGGCATGGAAAAGGTACAGTTTTTGTATGACCACCATGTTTCAAACGATAATGTTTGAGAAGTTCCCCTCTTTTTGCAGAGTCAAAAATACAATACTTACATATCCACATCTCCTTGTCTCATGTCACCTGTAACAGAAAAAGTTGAGAATATTAAGTTTAACAAAGTCAGTGCAAAAACAAAGAAAATTACATTATATTTAAGATGGTAATCTTACAATGTTATCCAAAATAAACCTAATATCATACCATCACAAATCCATATCGTTAACGTTACTTGATGGCTAACGTTACGCTGGCAAAGTTTGACCGGGGAATATTGTAATTATGGCTGCGTTGTCTTTTATTATAGAAACGTACCACAATGATTTAAATAAACATATTTCAATCTTAAAAAAATCACACAATATAACTTTAAATCTACATAATTTTACTTACCGAACATAGCACAAGAAGAAAAACTTCCTTCTTAAAATGTGGTGTCAGCAACTTTTTGCTACCCCTGCTGAGTGCTCAGACCCATGTGCAAACCAAATATCATTACCCCACTGTGCTTTCCAAAAACTAACGTCATTGGGAGTTGAATGAACTTCTTGAAAAAAACAAAAGTCAGACTTCCGCTGCTTAGCAAATAAAAACAAAGCCTTACGTTTAACATTTAACCTCAAACCCCTGGCATTAAGAGTAATTAACGAAAATGACATAAGGATATATGAATTAAAAGAATAAACAATGAATAGAAGGAACAGGAACAACTTGAAATATTCCATTCCCAAGGAGAATAAGTGAACAATGTAATTATTAACCCAGCCGTAAACCTATGAGAATTACTTCAAACAATATTCAGTAATTCTTAGGCATCAGATGAAAAGAACTTACAAGAGCAACAGGTTTGAAAAAGGTGCTCATACATCATGAGACCGCCAAGTCCACATCTTCAGGGTGGTGGATGCACGGCTTTCCCATCAACAAACGCTTGCCCTCCGATAAAGAACGCTCTCTTTCCTTCCTTTCTAGCAGCTTCCACCAATGGCCAGTTTCATCCTTAGCATCCTGTCTGCCTGAGTCAAATTAAAAATAAGTACATTTATTCCCATTATGGTCAATAATTGTAATTGAAGCCATTTGTTGTCTGATAAAAAAAGAAAAAAGACCTTGCACTTAAAGGTTGAACACAGTATTAGAATTTTACAGTCAAGAAGACTACATTTGTGAAAATGACCTATTTTTTTTAAAGGATTAATCATGATTTTGAGCTCACAACACTTGAAATCTTAAGTTTATGCATTTTGAAGGTAAATAAGTTAAATTAACTCATGTTTTTAAGTGACAGGGCCAAAATGCAAAATTTTAAGTAATGTTTAGTCAACATTACTTGATTGTTTAAGTAAAGACAACATTAGGGTTTACAGTGTGCAGAAAGAGAAAGCTGAAAAGGTTTTTAAGTCGGTAAATTCGAGTAAAATCACAGGCTTCGCTTATCCCGTGCGAATGCACCACACGAAATTCAGATGTGGGGGGGTAATTTCAAAATCACACAAGGCCCCCAGATAATAATCCCGTGCGAATAGGGTTTATGCCGAATAAACAGCTTTTTATGGGAAACGGCTTGTCATTTAATGAATCGACAGCCCATCGGCTTATCTTCAACGTCTTACACTAAACAATACTTTAGGATTGAACTATTTTCACTATTTTTATTCAGTTTACGGCACTTCTCATTCATTCCTATGGTATCCGTAAACGGCGATTGTGTGTCGCACAACTCTGACTGAAATTCAATGACGTCAAGGCTGTAATGTGATTGGTTGGCACACGTGATCCAAGTTAGCCGTTACTCTTTCTCCAATAGTAAGTAATACAGACCCTCTCATCTCCTAGTAAGATGATCTCTGTATAACTTTGATTTATCATGTGTCCTTAGCTGACGCGGAGCCCAGTGCGAGGTAGGGAGCGGGGCCCCCTCGGTTCGTTCGTGATCGCGGTATTGGGGGTGGCACTGGGGGTTGCGCAGGGCCCTCAAAGCTCAGGGCACAGTGCGACTGCACCAGTTGCACCACTCAAAGGATGGCCCTGCATGTGACTATATGATACCATGGTACAATGATGGAATCAATTGGTAGTATCATGGGAATTTGATCACAGGAAAACGACAAACAAACAAAAAAATATTGTATTGCCATGGTATACTGTAGGCTTATATATAGCCTTAGCAATGTTACATTCATATCAACTACCATATAGCTAGTATTATGGTTCTATGGCATAGGCCTATTTAAAGAGTGGTACTACATGAACGATCCACACCCAAATACATGGCAAAAGTCTATAGGAATATGCTGTTTTGTTAGTGATATCTTTAAGTGTTTCAGTTTAATGAATCCTTTTTGAATAGCAAAATCATATTCAAGGCTGGTTTAAGATGAGGTTTTTCAGCAGGCTATAAAATGAGGTCACGACTATTTATGCATGCAATGACAATAAAACAATTACATCTGGTATTCGCGATCGAAGCTCGACTGATGATCGATTATGAGCGCGTTTCGCGGTCATCCAGTAAGCGGCAGTAGCTCCTCCGCATGAGATGTGTGTGTTGATTTCGCCTCTGTAGTGCGCCTGAGCTTGTGCTGTGTATTAATAGGCGTCTGCATGTGAGCGGAGCCTTTTACTCGTGCGCACGGCGAGTCTCTTGAAGATCTGTTCATGCGGTAGGGTCAGAACATCATGGAGGTGCTGGATGTCCTAAATCTGGGCGAAATTGCCCAGTATTTCTCGAAAATGGCAATGTTTCCAGTTTTTGATGTCGCTTATTATATCGTGTCAATACTCTACCTCAAATATGAACCAGGTAAGTAGAATTGTTCCTTAGGGATAACAGAAGAATATTGCACTTGAGCTTTATTTGGGTCAAATTTAAATGACGGGGTTTTATTTATTTATTATTCTTTGCATTTGCGCGTGGATCAATGCATTTAACACTGCGTTAAATATGAAATAATTCATTCTCAAGCCATACAATAATTATTATTGTTTTCAATAAGTTATGTAATTTAGTTCATTTTCACATGGCATTGTGTTTGCAATAGTAGCCTATGCAGAACAGTCCTATAGCCTACGTGCGTATTTTAATATTTTATTAATGTCTCTACGTAGCCTATCATTCAGCATTTTCTTTATTTTTTGGGGTGGGACGAGTTGTCCCCCTCTTGAAGACCCTCCTCGAAACACGATAGAGTGCGTGCACATTCCACTGCGAGTCTCTTTGCAATAAATAGAAACGCCCTAAATAGACAGCAGCAGAGGAAAGGACAAAACGAAGCCCATAAATTTGTTAAGCAAATTTATGTAGGACTTGCTTCCATTTAACGAGTCACATTTGAAACATGTCCAAGTGGTATTTCAGAATTATTGCATTGCATTGTGACAATAGTTTCCTGACAACTAAGCACACTTTCTCTCCGAAATTTTAATTTCTGTAATAAATCTGGACGCTTTGGACTTTGTAATTTCTATTATTCTCAGTGATGATTCTCTACCTGACACTATATAATCCTACTTTAAAATTTATTATTATTAGTAGTAGTAGTATTTATTTATTTATTTTTATGTATTTTTTTCGTAGGCCTAAATCACCTTTTATTGTTGTAATGATAATTATAATGATAATTTTGTTATGCTAAAAAGGAGCTTTTTTGACATTAAAATGATGAGAATGAATTATTTGCATTACATTTATGATCATGAAATATTTTGGCATTGTGGCAATGAGAATGAGATTTTATTTTATTTACTTTTATTATTATTATTATTATTATTATTATTATGTTGGCATTACGGTAATGAAATGACTTGCTTGGCAATGTAATGCATGAATTGGGGGTCAAATGTTCTTATTATAAGTTTGTAACAATACAAAATAAAAAAAGAAATATCAGCAACATTAACTTAATGCCAAATTTGAATGTATTTCTTTTGTTTTGACGTGAATGAAATATAAATTAGTCCATTAGTGGTCATTCAGTATTACAGATTTAAGCGGTTTTATTTTTACATGCTTTCCGACCTGTCCGATGAGAACAGTATATGAGTTGATGCTGTCACTTAAAATGGCATCAGGCTTTCAGATATACCAGGGCACTGATATATAACTATTCATGCCATTATACCATTATACCATTCACAAACTTGTGATAAAGCATATTGATTTTGAAGAATGTGATATAAATATCCACCACTTCATCCAAACATTAGCCAGTTGCTGGCTGCAGTTCATCCTGTCAGCTGTTTGTGAGGGTTGGAGGTTGTGGTGTGAAACAGGCCTGCAGTTTGAGACGAACGAAAAGCTTTAGGCTTAGTTTATTTTTAGGCCACATTTGAGAGGATCGTTTTTCATTTAAAATGCCTGTTGGGTGCATAACGACCCAAGCTACATCTGTTCTGTAAGATTTATTCATCCCTGGAGATTTGTGGACCTCTAGATATACAACATCTCTTAGTGGAGTCAGAAATCATGTGGTCCTCCTAACACTGCTTTAGAGTGTTTTTGATGTTCACTGTAAAAAAATGTGTGTGTGCGTGTGTGTATATATATATATATATATATATATATATATATATATACACAATTTTAATGGTAAAAGTAAATGCTGTTGTAAAACTTAATTTAATGGCATATTCCCTTACTACTGTATATATTGTGAAAAACTGATCTAATAGGGCGTTTCATGTAATTTTACAGTAAAATACTGTTAAATGTACTGCTTAGTTCTCGTCATTTACAGTAAAAAAAAAAAAAATTCCCAGAATTCTCTGTAACTATGTTACTTCTTAGTTTTTGTCTTATCTGTTATGTACATTAGGGTTATGTTACATTTTATGTTGTTAATGTTTATTGAATTATTTTAGTGTCGTGTGTTACTGTAATGGTGATTTGTGTTTCTGTATGACACTGTGTGCATTTCCTTTATTAGTATTTACCTCAGCTTGTAGAAAAACTTGTGATGAACTTCGATTCCTCATGTGGCTTTCTCTTCACTGGGTTTTTAAAGGTGGCTGTCAGTATATTATAAAGTTCAATCTGAAAACGTAAAATGTTAGTACCGTATTTTTATAGTAAAATGTGGTATGAATTAATGTAAATGTCAAATTCTGGAAACTACAGCTGCCGTTTTTTTCCCCCCACCCTCCAAAAAAGTATCATAAGCATACATTAGAAAAGTTGTGGTCAAATGATCAGTCAAGTCTTTTCAATTAAATATTTCAATATTTCATCCAATTTTTAGGTTTAGTTAACTGCTCAGTGGCGAGGAATATTTTCAGTAAATAACAATGTAAACTGTGGTCTGTTCACACAAAGCTTGGTAAACAAGTCATGAGGACCACTTTTATGAAGTTTCTCTTTTTGTATTGCAAGAACTGAATTTCCAAATTTAAATTATAATCATGGGACATTCAGATTTTTGGAACTCGTTGTGTATTATTAAATGTATACTTGTAAAGGTTAAGTGTTTAAAGTGAAGGTGTTCTGTGTTGGTCTGTGTTAATCAGGTGCTGTGGAAGTGTCCCGTAAAAGCCCAGTGGCCTCATGGCTTTGTGCAATGCTCTACTGCTTTGGAAGCTACATACTAGCAGACATCATGCTTGGTGTGTCTCCCATTGACTATTTCCATAACAACAGTCACATCCTCCTGGCTTCAGCTGTGTGGTGAGGATCTTTAAATGGTTCAGTGCTTGTACACTTTGCATATGACACTGAAGTCACTTCAAAGATCACTTTAAGATAAATCTGGATATAAAATCAGAAAATTCTATTTTTGTTTGTAACATGATAATTTCAACAGTTTTTCTTGCACCATATAATCAGTTCATAACATGATAATTTTATTATAATTTCATAACTCATTGTAATAAGTTATCTTATAGTATTAAATCACAATGTGTATAGTTTTGTTTATTATATATACTATATATATATATAAGTGGTAGAGCATTGCGTTAGCAGCGCAAAAGGTCGTGGGTTCGATTCCCAGGGAACACACATACTGGTAAAAAAATGTATAGCCTGAATGCACTGAAAGTCGCTTTGGATAAAAGCGTCTGCTAAATGCATAAATTATTATTATTATACGCACATGTGACAGCACATCAGTTGGTATTCTATATTAATGTGGTAAGTTTATACCACATTGTTTATACAACCATAAACAACTAAACTCTTTGTGTTACATCCCTAAATAACAACTTTGTTCATATCTTGATCTGAATACGTCCGATATTTCTACATTTACCACATGTGTCTTAATTGCTTACACATACAAGTAACAAAGCAGTTCTACAGACAAATAGCAGCTCATAGTTTACTAGTACCTTTATTAAATCCTCTTCTTCCAGACAAACTTGTGTGAGTATCTATTATTGTATCTTTTTATCAGAATGTTTTTTTTCTTCTCTTTTTTCAGGTACCTGATTTTCTTCTGCCCTCTTAACCTGTTTTACAAATGTGTGGCATTTCTGCCTGTGAAACTTGTGCTAGTTGCAATGAAAGAAGTGGTCCGCACACGTAAAATCGCTGCTGGAGTTCATCACGCTCACCATGCGTATCACCACGGCTGGCTGATCATGGTCATCACTGGTTATGTTAAGGGTAAGTATCTTATATTTCCAGAGGGATTTATTTTAGGGGTCATGTAACGCTTTCATAAGACCCTTTAAAACTCTTGCTCGGGAGACCTGCACCGCTCTGCTGATTGTCTCTGTTAAAACTCACAGGGTCAGGGGTCGCTCTCATGTCCAATTTCGAGCAGCTGTTGCGAGGAGTCTGGAAGCCAGAGACCAATGAAGTTCTCAACATGTCATTGTGAGTGGAAAACCTTTACACAGAAGCAGCATTTTGGAGAGCCATGTCTTGTCCACTGACATTTTGTAGAGACCATTGGGACAGCTGCATAAACATAGCTATGTTAAGATTGTCTTAAGAACTAGTTTGACCAACAGTTAGCCAAGAGGTAATCGGTCTTACTTTTCTGATTCAAACTGGGCCAATTTACCTTTTTGTAACTGACTTTGAAAAAATAAATAAAGTTTGAAAAATCGTCAGTTTAAATTCCAAAAAGAACAAAAACCATCTTAAAATAGCATTAAGTAGTCCATATGACTCAAGTGTTTCATTCAAAGTCTTCTGAAGCTGTTCATGTTTTAGACTAATGACTTTTATAAATGTTTAGAATGTGATTCTTGTATTTTTCAGCCCTACCAAGGCCAGTCTGTATGGAGCCATTCTGTTCACCCTTCAGGAGGCTCACTTGCTCCCTGTGTCTAAAAGCATGCTCATCTGCCTCTTTACACTCTTCATGGCCTCAACCAAGGTAATAATACGCTTGCTTAAGAGTTCTTTCAGCTCATTTAATACGTTGAAATATAAGGGAGAGTGTAAATATCAGAAAACACAAATGTAACTCAGTATTCAAAGTCAATATAAAAATCAAAGACACCATGAAGCATTAAGATCCCTCATCATCTGTCCACAACAATTATGATGACTTTTTGCCAATCTGAATTCGTTCATTGACTGAATGCCCATAAATTGTCAAGGCAAATGTTCAGCAAATTTCCATGATACTTAACATCAAGTAAGCCCTGCTTTGCAAAATTAGCTCTCTTTCAGAGGGAAAGTTTGCCAAGATACGTGGTCAGTAGTTTTATCTCAAAGAATCTCAAAAAATAACTCTATATGGACAGAAGTATTGGGACACACTTCTTAAATGACTGAATTTAGGTGTTTCAGTATAGGATGCAATGCCACAGGTGTATAAAATGAAGCACCTAGCATGCAGGCTGCATTTACAATCATCTGTAAATACACTCTAAAAAATGCTGGGTTAAAATCAACCCAATTTGGGTTATTTGGCAACCCAGTGCTGGGTAAATATTGGACAGAACACATGCTGGCTTATTTGACTCAGCTGGTTGGGTTAAATGTTTTTACCCAACATGCTGGGTTGTTCTATTTAAGTCAACTACTGTTCGTAATTGTCTGTGTATTTAGAATGCAATGTCATAGTGGTGTAATGGTCAGAGGTCCAAATACTCCATATAGTCCATATAGTGCATCCCAAAAATTGAAGATAAACATAGAACATTTTTCAATATAAATTGAAATGCCCATTATACACTCTAAAAATTGCTGGGTTAAATACAACCCAGTGCTGGGTAAAATATGGACACCCAGCGCTGGGTTGTATTTAACCCAGCATTTTTTAGAGTGTAAAAACCATGGTAAAATCTCAAGGAAACCATAGTCTTCCGGGATTGTTTTTGTCGTTTGCAGTACTTCGTTGTTATTCAGTATCATTGGTTTATTGCGTGACTGTAAAACAGTAAGCCTTGGAAGTGTTGCCACCTTGTGGACAAACTTACTAGTGCAAAAAAATAAAAAATAAATAAAAACTCAAGGTGCATGTGCGAACTCAGCATATGGGCGATTCAAACAAAAAAAAAAAAATAAATAAAAAAAATAAAAATCACACTGCACGCTAACAGTATGTGCGTACTGGGCTGATGATGAAATCTGCGGCACTCAGACCATAAACTGCAGTATACTTTTGGCTTTAGCAGCCCAATAGCAGTGGCCAATAACAATGCCCATTTTGACTTTTTGCACAAGCAATCAAAACTAAACTAGTCAGTAAAAGGTAATAGCCGAGACATTTCCAAGTTCATTACTCAAGAATATTTACTATTCTTTATACAGGCGTTTATGACGGCCCGTCACTCTCACGGATCACCCTTCGCCCTCATCGAGTCTTGGCTGTGCCACCTGCTATTCGGTTCACCCCTTGGTATTGAAGATGCCCATGATCACCACCACTCCGCACCAGCCGCTGCCTCTGCGCCCCTCTCGCCCGCCAAAACCAAGGAGGAACTGGGTGAAGGAACCCGCAAGAGGAAGCCCAAGAAAGCAGAGTAGAGTTACAAAACAAAATCATCAACCCATCCTGTGATATGACAGAGCGGCCCGGCTCTGCTTGAGAAAGGAGGGAATTTTATCTTAAACCAATGCAAGTTTCTCTTTCAGTGGTGCTTTTAATGACAGACATGCCATATAGGGACTCTGTAAATAGCTTCCCCTCTCTTTACCAACATCTGTCTTTATTTTTCGTAATGTTTTCCATCATTCAAGCCCCATTCTCCCCATGCATCTGATGATGTGCAGTGTGTCATGAACAGGTGAATGAACGAAAGGCAGTGTGATGAGAACCTGCTTCTATCCGTTTGAGTTCATACTTCACTGAAGGGTCCATCCAAATAACTTGAGGAGACTCGTCGTCCACCGCTGGTTGACCCGACTTCCACAGAACACTGCTGCTTTTTAAATCCAGTTGAATTGGGGAAGTAAAAACAATATATTTTCCAAAAAAAAAAAAATAAATAATAAATTATTTTTCAGCCAAAATCAGTTGTTTCAAATTCTTCCAAATGTTGTGTCTTCAGTGATAGAGAGAAAAAATAGCCTTCTATTCAAAAAAAAATAAATAATAATTTTGTTCACTTACTGACTTAAATTCACGGATAAATCCACACTGTGAATAAATAGTAAGTTTATTTGAATGTTATGCATCTCTGCAGTGAAAACGTATATTTTTCATTTGAAAAAAAAAAAAAAAAAAAGTAAACTTTCCTCAAACTGGTTTTAAATAATATAGGTGAATAAAGTCAACCTACCATCAAGGTGGACATCACTTCCAAAAGAGAGTAATTTTGATCAATACCACAACAGAATTGTTTCACACCCATTTGTAAATGTTGTGGAAACTGAATAAATTAAAAATAAATGATTAAATAAGTTCAAAAGTGTCATTTGTTCCAATTCTTAAGAAACGAATTTAAAGCTGTACACAATATTGGCATAGTTTGTCATCGTTTTTTTTTTTTGTCCTGACATCTGATAAGAGTTTTCATATTAAAATATTAATCAAAAACGAAACCTTCTCACCTCGCCAGCAGATGGCATCAGACCCCCAGAGTCAAATAATGGTTGTTTACAGCGTTTCAGGATATCATTCAAAGCTTTACACAGAGATTTATTCACTCTTCTTCCTGTACGCTATGATTTCTCACCAGTCAAAGCTTTTATAGATAGATAGATGCAGAAGTCTTCAACCGGTGTAGCAGAGTCAGCCGGTCGGCGGTTGGCGACACTGGGTTGTGACTGAGGCCAAGATGGACGGAAGTGGAGTAGAGTCCGGAAGTGATCTGGATTTGGAGGATGTAGATGGCGGGGGAAATGAAAGAAACAAAAGTAGGCTGCAGTTACTGTGGAATAACAGAAACAGTTGAACATGTGCTCTTACATTGTGAGGCATATAATAGACAAAGAAAGCAACTTGTTGAAAAACTAAGAGATATGGAAATCAATGACATTTCAGTTATGAATATATTTCAGAATGCACAGAAACATCTAAGGGTTTATGGTTTTCTTCTAAAATATCTGAGAGATACAGATTTGATTAGAAGAATTTAGTTTTTTTTATTTTATTTATTTATTTATTTTTATTATATTAGTAGTATGTAATATGTTCGTTCATCGAGGCCTCACACTCCATCCCAGTAGGTGGCGGAAATGCACCTTAAGCTGGTTTGCCAACCGCCATTAAACACAAAAGAAGAAGAAGAAGAAGTAGTCTTCAACCAATCGCGGGCTCCACTGAGGATCATGTGACCGGAGCAGGAAGCGTGAGTGAGCGGTTATTATAGGCTCTTTGAATCGTTATACACGCGGTGTTTCTGACTGACCGAGAGGAAAATGGCACCTACAGGTAAGAAATACGTGCTACGCTAAACTTCAAAAGCATGCATTGTACCACCAGAATATAAGAACCTTAACATAACTGTCTGCCTTTTAAACGAAGCCAAAGTAGTGCCGCTGTTGTGTTGTGGCTCGTTAGCGCAGTGAGCTAGTAATGGGTGGGTCAGCTGGTGCCGCTAAAAGCTCCGGTTCCGACCACGAAAACACACCAGACTGCGGCTTTTGTCCCACACTGACAGGGCCTAAGTTTACAGTGCAAGAGATTTGTTAATCATGATTTCTCTGTTTGCAAAAACATTTCTTATGTGTTCTGACGCGGCTTCTGTCTTTATAATGGTTTAGGGTCAGCCTAATTAAATGCGACATGTTTCCGTGGAGCATGGTTAGCTGGTTAACCTTTAAGCTCTAGGTTTAATTAGCAAACTCATCACACGCCCTCAACAATATCACTCATAATGACCGAATCGAGCAGATATCCATGTTCAGTTGGCGCTAAAGAGATGGCAATAAATCTTATTTAACCTAACTTGTATAAGTTATGTGCATTTAATATGCATGTGTGTATATGTAGAGAAAATATCTTATTACAATTACAAAATTATATATTTTTTAAATATTTTAAGTTGAAATTCTTGTTTAAAACAAATGAAATAATTGATTTGAAGTTAATAATAAAAAAAAGCCATCGAGTTTCACACAGGAGTCGACACACTTTTATATATCGTCGTTCATTCTGAATACACTGTATAACCAGGTGGTAGAACAATTATAAGCCTAAAAGCATGATTAGTTGATGGATATGTTGTTTTAGGAATAATAAATGATATGCATAGAAACAGGTTCTATATGTAAATCACATTTAAGTTCACACTGTTATAATATTCAGTGTAAGCAATGTTGTTTTTGAATGTTCAGGTGAAGTAGTGTTTGGCTCTGGGGACCGGGTCTGTGATGACAACCGCTTGCTCTGGGATCTCGCTCCCGACCGGATCCAGCAGCTTACTGAAGAGCTTATTGCCAAGACCAAAAAGGTGTATGACATGGTCTGTGCGCTGGACGTGTCCAGTGTCAGCTATGAGAACACCCTGAAGGCCCTCGCTGACGTAGAAGTGGAGTACACAGGTAGAAATCAACACTATAGATTAGGCCTGGGCAATAAAACGGTATCGATATTTATCGACGTTACACCTTTGATAACGGTAGAAAAATTTTTCGATATAGCGCACTATATAGGCACGCGCTATTAGTGACGCAGACCGCACACACAAACACGAACACATGCTGAATTGAGTGCTGTGCCTGCCTGTGATTAGGAGATTGTGAATAAAGAATGAATATTAGATGAATTTAAAATAAACATTTGCATTTGAATTTGAGTGCGTCAGGGAGCGTCATCAGTGGTGCGCGAGATGCGGTGATGATGTAAGTGACGTTGCATTTTAATGTTTTTATAGTCTAGCCCACGAGACGCGCCGCTGCTGCGTTATTCATTCAGTATATTAGAGAAATATGCTCAATGCATTGAAGATCTTGATTAGGTTAAAGGGGTCATATGATGCGATTTCAAGTTTTCCTTTCTCTTTGGAGTGTTACAAGCTGATTGTGCATAGATAAGATCCCTGAAGTTGCAAAGACTATACAGTATTTGAAAAATAATGTGTTTTTTGAACATTAAAGCATGTCAACATATTCTGTTACACCAAATACACAAATTATGATCTTTAAAATAGCATCATATGACCCCTTTAAAACTGAAACCAAGCCATTCACACAGAATGCATATTCAGCGCATTTTTTTAGACGGACTAGATAATTGTTTATGCAATTTACGAAATTATATTTGATTTTTATGAGTTAATTTAGACGTAATGCACGTTTTTTTTTTAATAGAGTTCCTTCCTTGTGTTGACCATTTTTAATGCGCTACATTATTTTGCTCATTGCGCCCTCCTGTGGCCTCGGGAGACAAGCCAAAAGTTTCCTTTAGACCTAATTAATCTGCATATAAAACATTAGAAATGAGATATTTGTTTAATTTTTATTTTGTGTTTGATTGTTAAAACAAAAAATATTTGTTGTTTGTCTCAATAAATTGGGTTAATTTAAAAATACAGTTGTTACATTTAAAAAAAAAATTCTGTTGCTCTTTGTTTTAAAAAAGGTTATAAAAAATGTCAATAATTATCGATACCGAACGATATGAAACATTATATCGTTGATTAATTTTTTTTAGCTATATCGCCCAGCCCTACTATAGATACATTATAAATACAGTTTAATAATCTAAATGTTGCTGAAAAACCTGTCATCTGATTATGTAAAAGGCCTTTTAACCTAATTCTAAAAATGCCCCCCTTCAGGTTCACACGTTTTTATTTGCTTTAATATCTTTACAGATTTTTAATTTTTTTTATTTGTAGTATTTTTAAATGAACCCTTACTGGACTGAAGCATTTTAGGTTTACTTGGATTATCCATACATTATTTAAAAAGTAAAGGGTTAGTATCAAATGTGATACATAAGGCTTTTGACGAATGTTTATTTGTATCTTTCAATCCATAGGCGTAACTTGCGGGTGGGACATGTCCCCACCACTTTTTGCCAGGGTCGATAAACATCAAACGGCAAACGAAACTGAAAGCATAATGAAACCGCGCTACTCATTTGAACTGCGCAGCGCTTCGAGTGTAGAGTCTTTATACTCGCCGCGTCAGCAGGGGTGCGAAGCTGCAAGCAGCAAAAATGTAGCTAAAGTAAAGTAAAAGACCACTTCTTAAACCAGAGAAGGGGAACATGTTGGTATTCTTGTGGGGGGAAAAAACAAAACATGCAAGCACTGTCAAGCACAGCAAGTTTAGTTTTACTTTTCTTTTTGTTTTGTTTTCATTTTGAAAAGCGTATCTTTGCTGTTTACCTCATGTTATGCTATGGAGGCTCTCTCTCTCTCTTTTTTTACATTTTTTCTAAACGTTCTGTAATATATTAGTCATTATGTAGCCTAAAACAGCGTGTAGGCCTATGCCATGCCTCATCTTATTCGTTTTTGTTATTAACGTTTTGTAAGCTAGTTTGTCATTGAATCTTACTGTTTTATTGTTGTTGTGCATTTTAATTAAAAATAATTAATCGATCTTTTTTTTTTTAGTCTTAAAAGGTGAAAGGTGTGTGGATGTAAGCAAAACAG